AGTTATATATAAAAATATAAGTATGTCACAGACAGAGAAAAAGGAAAATTAAAGTGATAGAAAAGGGTTTTGATAACTTGATTGCTGTAGAGGAAAAGTATCATCAGCTTTTGGTTTTGGAGGAAAGAAATCAAGCCCCCACTTCTTTTCGTGTTTATCAATGTCACATTAATTTAATTTTGTACATAGATTGCAATGTAGCACTACTGTTATAAACACACACACGTATAATCGAGTATTATCTTTTATTTAACAAAACTAATTTATGGAATAGGGTTCCATATAATTTAGTAGAGTTTCAACATGCATGATTTTTATCTGTATTCTTGTATGAAACAGATTAATATTTAGCTATTATTGTAGAATCGTACACTTCTACCAATGTATGAGAAATACACAAAATTGATATCCTAACAATTGAATCATATCAAAATTTACAATATATTAATATGTTTGATTGGTAAACCTCACTGTTATTGGGTTTGTTTTAGGAAATTAGGAAAATTAGAAATTCAAAATCTTCTTTTAGGGATTTTCTTTGAACAGTAAAGTTAATCCCGTGACGACCTTCGCTTCTCTCTCCACCGACTCTGCCACGGCATTATTTTCGGCAAGCGACGGAGGAGGAGAGGAAGAAGAATTAACCGACGACAAAAATTTCTCCTCGAAACTCAGCTCAATCTCCGAGCAATCTAACTCCGGTCCAGCTACGGCGGTGGAAGAAACCGGCGGCTCCTGGGAGTTGTCGCCGCGGTTTCGGGTGTACGAAGATAGCCATTTGGCTCGCATGTAATCAGCTTTCCTCCACGGCGGGAAATGCATCCCCTTCTTCTTCAAGCTCTGTTTCGCCGCCTCTGAGACTATTGAAACAATCTGACGAATCCGGTCAGGTTTTCCGACGAAAATGAACGGTAGTGATTGAAGCAACGACTTGTAAGCATTCGTCTGCCGTGCAATCTCGAACTCCGATTGAAAATCCACGTCAACTAGAAACCTTTCGCCGTTCATAATCACATCGATGTACTCATACTCACCTGAAATTTCGGAAATTCAAAAGCTGTTATCAGACGGAAAATAATGAGAAGAGGAAGAAGATGAAGAAAACCGGAATATGGAAATCGTACCGGACGGTATAGAGCGAGTTTTATTCCATTTCGATTTACAAACTGATGAGTCGTATCCGAGAGATGAGAGTCCATCGATGACGATCTTCCTCAAATTGTCTTTCCGTTTGATTGATTTGTTCTTCTCTAAAATCTTCGCAACATCAGCCAACAGATTCCTCTCAGCGACGCTCGCGCATGGTATCAAGCTCTATCAAAAAATCAATGGATGATTCGTTAAGTTTTGGTTATTGCATAGTATATCTCGAAAACGAGAGGTTGTTGAGTTACCTTGAAATGGTCATAAGCGTCGTTGAAAGAATCGACGGAGCAACCGAACAAATCGAATTCATCGTCGGAGCTATCGTCGTTGTTCCCATTGAAACAATTGCAGCGATTTCGTCCGTTTTTAGCTTGCTTCTCGGTGTTTTCCTCCATGTAGTTTTGAACCATCTTCGCTAACGCGACGGAGCTAGGTTCCAACTCATTTCCGACGCCGTGTTGAGCTTCTTCAGAGGCGGCGACGAGTGATTTATCTGAGTTTGAGCTTCTCAGAACATTTGTAAACGGCCGATCTAAGAGACGCTTGAGGCGAGATTTGAGCACTGGTTTTCCTGATTCAACTCGAGCAGAGTCCCTACTCGCCGGAAAATCGTTGTTAATCGGCTGGATCTTCATCGGAATCGCTACAGTAGATTTCTCTCTCCGCCAAGTCACTTCTCGTTCAAACAAAGCTAGGAGAAACAGATAAAATTCAAATTCTCTCAGAAATTTTCCCAGATTTGAGATCTCTCTCCATGAAACAAAAAAAAAAATCAATCAATAGTCCGAAAAATCCAAGATCGGAAACTCCACAGCTTCAAAAACCTCACAAGACGAAGACGACATTGATAAGATAGGGAAGCTATGGGCTCTTAAAAGAAAGGGAAACAGAGTAAAAGAAAAAGAGATTAGAGAATTGGGGAAGAAGAAGTCTGGTATCGTTGAGAATTGGGGAAGATGAAGTCTGGTATCGTTGTGAGTAAGAAAGCTAAAGGCATTGGTTAAGAGCTTAAGTAAAGATGGAAGTTATATGAGAAGAATCGAGAGCTTTATTGGGCTCAAGGCCTATTTCTATATTTTCATATTTTAATTTTAATGGAATTAAAAAGATTTAATTAATTACATTGTGGTAAAAAAAAAAAAAAAACATTAGTGCAAGTGATTATGATGAATACCAATCACGAAAGTATTAAAAAATATTCAGTATAAACCATTTATTTTATACTATTTACTAATTTCATTTGTAAAAAGATTTACCGGATTCATGTCACAATCTTAATCGGACCCATTAAAAACCTAGCGGTACACAACTACACAAGATCAGTCTGAAATGTTTATAGCTGAACATTTGTAATGTAAAATGAATAAAACATGAGTAATTAATACAGTATGTTCAGTACAAAGAGTAATAAAATACTATATAGATAGATATTTAAAAATTAGATGAGTGATACAATTTTGAACATGAAAATCGACACATTTATTCATACGAACGAGTCGTCACTATTTCGAAGTCATAATGTATTTGGTTGTCCTCTAATTTACCAGCAGCTAGGATAATTGCATACATGCGTACAAAGGAAGAGTCATCTTCTTTTATTCGTTTTTAACCGTACATTTGTTTTAAATTCTCGATTCTACCTTTTTCTTTTTACTCTATTTAACTTTTATTTTATTTTTTTTCTTTGTTTTAACTTTTACTTTTCTTTATATGAATAGACCAAACGGTCAAATATTTGGGCCCCCGTCTTTTGCATGATTTTTAGTAATTTCAACTAAAGGTTTATGATTTAAATGCGGTTAATAAAGCAAAGCTAAAGTCTCATAATTACAGCATGGGAATAAAGTTTTAATCTTTAAATAGCTTATATATATGTTGTTATCATTTCACATCCAGATAATTTACTGCCATAACTTACTTTTTCTTTTCAGTATATTAAAAAAGAAAAATCTTCAGCCTTTTTTTTTTCTTTTGTCCTTTAGTGGTCAGTCTATATATATTTGTTTTCCCTTATTTACTGACATTTTATTATTACTTAAATAAGCGGATCATACAATGATGTATTTTTAAAACTATATAATTAATTTCATTTTAATATTATTATTACCACATTTGTATTTTATTTGTCATAAGATGGTACAATATACTCACACAGTCCACATGGAGGAGTTATAAGATTTACTTCTAATACGTGTTGCTTAAGTATTGGTCAAGACTTAGTCTCCAGTATATAAATTAAAAAACAAGAAAAAAGAGGAATAATCCATTTTCGGATATGCCCGATATTCCACAGTAATGGAGGACAAAAACGTAGTTTATTAATATCAATTTTTTTTTTCAACATTTATTAATATCAGTTATTGACACATTTCTGTAAAAAGAATTTACCACCAGGCTGAGGATGAAAACGACAAAAAATAATTTATACAGTAAAAAATTATAAATTAATATTTGATAAATTAATAAATTCAATTAATTAATAATTTTTTTGATTTCAAAATTTATAATTAATAATTATTAAAATTTATAAATTAATAACTTGATTAATCAATAAATTTATTCAGTCCTAACATTATTACTTTATAGAGTTTCAATTATATTAAAAAAATAACACCACTAAAAAGATGAAACAGTAAATTAGAATTGTTATCACGTGGTGATACAATCCCACGTGGCGATACATTCCCACATCAGCTTTATCTTTGGGTCTTTTTAGCTTCGGATCTCTGCTCATTTATAAGTTTAAGCCAATTTTTTTTTACCCACACCATCTCACCCACACCAGAAAAATAACAATTATCAAAAAAGGTTTTTTTGTTCAATAACCATATTTGTAAAACAATAGAAGAATATAGTTATGCTATTTGAAAAATTAGTAAACTAACCATGACCCACATTCAATTATCGAAAATAATCATGTATTATATTATATTATATATTATACTATATATCAATTTATGGAATAGCTATATTTGATATAGTATTTATAAAAATATTTTTTTGTAAAGAGAAAGAAAGGGAAGAAGACGAGAGAGGAAGGGAGGAGAGGGAAAGGGAAGGGAAATAGAGGAAGGGAGATGAGATGAGCGTAGGTGGCAGAGAAGATTGAAGGGGAAAATATGAAAGGAGAAGAGAAGATCGGAGGAGAAAGGGATAAGGGAAAAAAAACAAAATGATATTTTTGTATATATTGTAGAATATACAAAGAATATTATAGCACCTAGTTTGTTATAGTTATTTGATTAATTTAGTTTCAAAATATGATCATATGACCCAATTTCTCTATAAAAAAATATGTTTTTTATAAGAAACCTTTTTTTTTTCTTCTATCTAGATTTGATGATTATTTTTAAATTCTCCAGCGATGAATCTCACCGGGAAAATGAATATTTCAGTTATCATGTCCTCTCTGTCTATCTCTAGTAATGCTGCCTCCAACTATCGCCGTCATGTGTTCCGCGAAAATCATCGCAGATCCGTCTCCTAGACTTTTTTTTTCTCTAGTAGTATTATTCTTTGCTTCGTTCTGTGAAAAAATGATCCGCTGATTGCAGAAGATGGTGTAGGTTTCTTCTGGTTTTTAGCTGAGAGGTTTTGGTAGATTCTGTTTTCTTCTTTGAAGAAATTTTTGACAATCTATTTCTCTTTTCGTTTTTGTTGGAGAGATCTGAGGTTGTTGGAGGAGGCAGAGTGTATTTTGAAAACTCGTGAAGTTCTATAGAGAATTTAAAATTTCTCTTTCGTTTCTCGTCGTCTGTCTAGCGTCTTTGAACGAGAATTGACTTAGACCATAATTGGTGAAGAGAGAGAGAGTAATATAAAGAGAAGATAGATCTTCGTCTTTGTCAGTCGCGATGCCATTTACGATGAAGATCCCGCCGACTGATATCAATTCAGCTGTCGTAGCTCGATCGGAGCTCAAATCTCATCTCAAGCGATTGTTTGATCGGCCGTTCACTAATGTATTGAGAAGCGCAGCCTCTGAGAAACCGTTTCCTGTCATCGTCACCGGTAAAGCTCAATGCAACCGAGATGGAAGCACCGTGACAGAGTTCGAGCCAAGTTCGTTTGTTTAGTGAAGATTGTTCAGAACTTCATAGAGGAAAACAACGAGAAGCAAGCGAAATGTGGATGCAACCGCTGCAACTGCTTCAAAGGCAACAACGATAGCTCCTCCGACGATGAATTAGATCTATTTGGTGGCTCAATTGATTCCTTTAACGGCAGATCTCCATGTGACACCTCTAAGAGCATCTCCAATCTATTGCTATTTTTTCCTCTACTTTTAAATGGAAAAATAGAGGTGTCATTTTTGTTCTCCAATCCACTTCTATTTTAGAGAAAAAAATAGAGATGCTACTTTTTCCTCCAAATATAGAGGAAAAGTAGGTTCCTTTATATTTTCCTTTAAAATAGAGATATTCCTCTAAAATAGAAGTGGATTGGAGAGAAATCTACCTCTATTTTAGAGTTCCTCTATTTTAGAGGAAAAAATAGCAAAATGGATTAGAGATGGTCTAATCATCTCAAGGTATACACCATTTGCATCTCTCTCTCTCTTCCTCTCTCTCTCTCTCGCTCCATTATCTCTTGATCAGTACTACTCGAATTATATTTTCGATTGAATCAGAGCTTGATCTAGTGTGCGAGCGTTGCCGAGAGGAACCTATTAGTCGACGCGGCGAAGATTGTGGATAAAAACAAATCCGTCAAATGAAAAGATGATATGTGGAAGATCGTCAACGAAGGACTCTTATCTCTTAATTACGATTCTTCGATCTGCAAATCAAAATGGGAAAAATCTTCCTCTTTTCCAGCTCGTAAAGATCCCTCCACAATCGTCTTTTTTTGTTTTTCAGATTTTTCACAAAATCTGTGTGACTGATTTAAACAATTTTTCCGAATTTCTAGGTGAATATTGAAGATGTGGAATCAGCAAACAACTCAGGCGGGATATCAGGATACATAAAGGAAGCTTGTAGCTAATGAGGAGCTAATGATGTGGCAATTCAAGGAGGAGCTTGGAGAGCACGCAAGGAGATTGTACATATGGAAACTTACTTTACGAGAGTTTGGTAAAAGGGGTCTAGGTTTAGGCTTTGTAGAGTATATATAGTTTGAAGTCGGGCAAAGTATTGGGATACACTTTGCGTCGCAATTGATACAGTTTACCTTGTACCTCAAACAAAGACGAAGTAAGAAGGTTAGTGTCCTCTTCTCTGATACACGTGTTGTGGGATCAAGAGAAGAGTAGGTTTTGTTACTAGGAATCGTTTGGTTGCTTTCTAAGAGTAGAGTTGCATAAATCCAAGCAATTGTAATCAGTTGATTAAATTGTTGATTCGAAATAATAAAACCTAGTGTTCGACTTGGCACTTTCCAAGTCATTGATTGTGTGTGCCTGTTTTCTACACTTACAATTGGTATCAGAGCAGGCGTATACTAAAGAATTGTCTGTTCTTATTAATCAGGTGTGATTGTGGGACAAAGTATGGAAAATATGCAACATCTTGGTCCGAGAAAGTCTCTGGTGCTCGACGCAAAAAATTACGGATGCTGGAAGGTTCAGATCAAGGCTCTCATCAAAGGATATGATGAGGATGCATGGACCATGGTTGAAGAAGGCTGGACGGAACCAACTGTTGTTGGAGCAGATGGAGTGAGAAGACCCAAACCAAGATTGACCTTGACAGCAGAAGAGAAGTCCTGGTCTAAATTCAACTCCAAAGCCTTGTCAATAATCTGGACTTCCCTTACCAAGGATCAGTTCAAGAAAGTCCAAGGGTGCACCACGGCTAAGGCAGCATGGGATACACTACATACCGCATATGAAGGAACCTCTACGGTTAGGAGAACCCGGATGGACATGGTAGCTTCACAGTTTGAAACGCTGACCATGGAATCAGGAGAGTCAGTAGAACAGTTCAGCGGAAAACTCAGCGCCATTGCACATGAGGCTCAAGTACTTGGGAAGATATACAAGGATAAAAAAACTGGTCAAGAAGTTTCTGAGAAGCCTTCCTGACAAATTTCATTCCTACATATCAGCCATTGAAGTTTCAAGAGACTCGGATGATATGAAGTTCAATGAAATCGTGGGGATGATGCAAGCATATGAGATGAAACAATCTCAGAAAAATCAGGCAAAAGGGAAAGGTATTGCGTTCTCGGTTGAACAAGGCGAATCTCTGGAAATCAGTCTAGATGATCAAGTTGGATTGATTGTCAAGAAATACTTTAAGAAGTTCGACAGAGGTCAACGCAAGTCAGGATTGGACGGAAGAAGATCAAGTTCGGAAACCAGGTCTGAACAGAGTTCAAGGAAGTTGGAAATGCAGTGCCATGAGTGTGAAGGATATGGACACTTTAAAACTGAGTGTCCAACCGCCAAGAAGAGAATGATGCTTAAGTGTCAGAAATGCAGTGGTTTTGGTCATATCAGGGCTGAGTGTGTCACTCAAGAGAAACGAAAGGAATGGTCTTTGATGATCAAAGAAGAGTCTCAGTCAGACACAGTGAAAGTGATGAGGAGTCTCTTCAGAACTATGTGGTATTTCTTAGAGTAATCAATGAGGGTGCGGATTCTGGGGGAGAATCAGACAAAGATGATGAAGAAATTCTGGCGGAAGAAAACCGCACTCTTTGTCTTGCTATGGTCAATGCCAGTAAAGAAAAGGAAGATCTGATGCAGCATATTTCGGATAAAGACAAACAGATCACAACATTGCAGGGCAGTCTCCAGAGCAACACTCAGATAATTGAAGAAAAGGATGACAAGATCTTTGCCTTGCAGTGTGAGGTTGAAGTTGCTGAAAACCAGCTTACCGAACAAGTCAAGTTCTCAGACTTTCTCAAGAGTCTTCTCGCTGAAGAACAAGAGAAGAATCGGGAGCTGAATGGGCGTTTGTCTGAGCAGCTCCGAAACATCAAGATGCTATCAAAGGGAACCAAAGATCTTGATAAACTTCTGAGCATTGGACAGTCGAGCAAGAGCAATTATGGCCTTGGATATACAGGTACTACGCCTGGTCGACCAACTCAATTTGTTCGTGGTTCAGAACTTCCTCAGCAAAGACAGCCACCAGTGCATCCTAACAGACCAACTAGGAAGGCGGCGGTCTCAGGAAACAGTCCAGGGAAGCAACCTGAGAAGTCAGATGCAAGGAACAGAGCCGTAAAGCACAACGTCAATGAGGTCTATAGAAACGGTAGACTATCTGGCTGTTATTACTGTGGGAAGCCAGGACACATCAAGATCCATTGCTACCGTCTTCAAAAAGACATTCAGCACCTAATCAGCCAAAATCAGTTTTTCAGGAATGGAAAACGTCGGAATCAGGGATGGATCAAGAAAATGCAGTCTGGTGATAATCATGCTCTAACAGTTGTGCATGCAGGACAGGACTCAGAGGATGCCCCGTGGTACTTTGATAGTGGCTGTTCAAGACACATGACAGGTACTCAGGGCGAGCTGAATGGAATAATTAAGGTGTCAGCTGGCAGAGTTACTTTTGGAGGTGGTGCTAAAGGAAAAATTAAAGGTGTAAGAGGAACATCGGGTCCAGCCAAACCACACTTATCCGAAGTTTACTTTGTTGATGGGCTGAAAGCTAACCTGATCAGTATCAGTCAACTCTGTGATGAAGGGCTCTCAGTTCGCTTCACTAGGAAAACCTGTCAAGCAGTAACTGACAATAGACAAATCGTCTTGTATGGAACTCGCACCAGCAACAACTGTTACAGATGGATACCTCCACCTACTCAGTGCTTCAGTATCAGTACTGGTGCTCACGCCGATAAGCAACTGTGGCATATGAAGCTTGGACACATGAATGTTCGCACAATGGCTAGACTGGCAGACAAATAACTCATTCGTGGCATGCCAAAAATCAAGTTAGTTTCTGATTTTGTCTGTGGTCCGTGCACACAAGGGAAGCAGGTGCGTGTTCAACATCGAGCTGTACCTGACATCCAGACTCATCATGTGCTTGACTTGGTTCACATGGACCTCATGAGACCAATGCAAACCGAAAGTATTGGAGGGAAGAGATATGCATTTGTCCTGGTTGATGATTACACCCGATATGCTTGGGTCAGATTCATTCGTGAAAAATCAGACACGTTTGACAGCTTCAGAATCCTTGCCCTTAAACTCAAGACTGAGCGGGTGAATGGTATAAAGATAATCAGAAGCGATCATGGGGGAGAATTTCAGAATGAAGTTTTTGATCGGTTCTGCAGTGAACAGGGGATCACTCACCAATACTCAGCACCAAGAACACCTCAGCAAAATGGAGTTGTGGAACGCAAGAACATAACTCTTCAGGAAATGGCTCGGGCTATGCTACATGGGAATCATGTGGCTAAACGTTTTTGGGCTGAAGCTTTGAACACCGCTTGTTACATTATCAACCGTGTGTACGTTAGAAAGGGGGTCAACAAAACTCCTTATGAACTATGGAAAGGAAAGACCCCCAATGTGAGCTACTTTCATGTCTTTGGGTGTTCGTGCTATATCCTGAATGACAAGGATCACTTGGGAAAATTTGACTCAAGAAGCTCTGAAGGGATATTTCTTGGATACTCAGGAACTAGCACCGCTTTCAGGGTCTTCAACAAAAAATCCCTTCAAGTTCAAGAAACGGTAAACGTTGTCTTTAGTGACATTGCTTCGCAGGGCCTGATATACCCATTGGTTGATCATGTTGATTCAGCAACGAAGAAGTCAGAACATACTGAGGAAAGCGCTGATGCGAACGGGCAGGGTCAAGCACATAATGGTGAGGACTCAGAAAAGGATTCAGCTCATGAAACAGAGAGTCAAACAGATTCAGAAGCTGATGACTCCACTGAGCCAATCGCTGCAGGTCAAACTGATATATCAGGACATCACCTCACTCCAGTTCCCATTGCAAGAGCCCGAAAGGTACAAAAGATCACCGTAAGGAGCAAGTAATAGGTGACATTGATGGCGCAAGAGTCACACGCCACATCAAACTGGACTTCAAAAATATCGTGAGATTTGCTAGCTTTGTGTCTACTATTGAACCGAAAAATCACAAGGAGGCGCTGATAGATGAATACTGGATCAAGGCTATGCAAGACGAGCTGGAACAGTTTGAGAGAAATCAGGTCTGGACTCTGGTCCCCAGACCAACGGGTGCAAATGTTGTGGGAACCAAATGGATCTTCAAAAATAAAAGTGATGAGCATGGATATGTGGTTCGCAACAAGGCACGTCTGGTAGCTCAAGGATACTCCCAGGTTGAAGGAGTAGACTTCGATGAAACCTTCGCACCTGTGGCAAGACTTGAATCCATTCGACTGCTTGTAGGTATGGCTTGTAAACTTCAAATCAAGCTGCATCAGATGGATGTTAAGAGTGCCTTCCTGAATGGGATTCTTCAAGAAGAAGTTTTTGTTGAACAACCTAAGGGGTTTGAAGATGCAAAACACCCCCAGTATGTGTACAAGCTCCAGAAAGCACTCTACGGTCTGAAACAAGCGCCTCGTGCATGGTATGAAAGGCTGACGACATTCCTGATGAAAAATGGCTATCAGCGAGGGAGTGTTGATAAGACACTGTTCATCATTCACCGAAAATCAGGGTTCATGGTAGTGCAAATATATGTTGATTATATTGTTTTTGGAGCTACAAATCAAAAGCTGGTAGATGAGTTTGTTGCCACAATGACAAGAGAGTTTGAGATGAGTATGGTTGGTGAGCTGAATTATTTTCTGGGGTTTCAGATCAAGCAATCAGACGAGAGTGTCTTCATAACTCAGAGCACTTATGCACGAAACTTGGTTGCGAGGTTTGGTCTTGACAAGAGTAAGATAGCCAGGACACCCATGGCTACAAACTGCAAGCTGTCACGCGATTCACAGGGAGAGGATGTTGACGCCAAGCTGTATCGTGGAATGATTGGAAGTCTTCTCTATCTCACTGCAAGTCGACCTGATCTTTGTCTCAGCGTGGGTATATGTGCTCGGTATCAGGCAAATCCTAAGATGTCTCATCTCCAAGCGGTCAAGCGGATTGTCAAGTATGTCAAAGGAACGATAGATATGGGACTGCTATATACCGTCGACACTAATCAGAATCTTGCAGGGTACTGTGATGCTGACTGGGCAGGATGTTTAGACGATCGACGAAGCACGAGTGGAGGATGTTTCTTCTTAGGGAACAATCTTATATCCTGGCATAGCAAGAAGCAGAACAGTGTTTCACTATCGACAGCGGAGGCCGAATACATTGCTCTGGGGAGTGGATGCACTCAACTCTTGTGGATGAAGCAGATGACCGCTGACTATGGTATGGAATCTAAATCTCTTCTAATTCATTGTGATAATGAGAGTGCTATTAATATTACTAAAAACCCTGTTCAGCATTCACGCACTAAACACATAGATATCAGACATCACTTCATAAGAGAACTTGTTGAGGAAAAACTAATTGAGATCAGCCACGTGAGCACTGAATATCAGCTTGCTGATTTATTCACTAAACCACTGGATTTCAACAAATTTATCAGTCTGAGGAAGTCCATTGGTGTCTGCGAGTACTAATCATATGTGTGTGAGTTTCTGTGATTTTGGACAGGAACAGGAACAGGAGCGGACTCAGCACCAGATTTCAGTTTTTTTTTTTAATAAAAAGGGGGGTCTCTGTATTTGTAGTGTTCAGTGGTAGAAGGCTGCCTGAGGTACCGTCTCTGGTCACTCAGCACTAGTTGCAGGCTTCCATAAACTGACACATGAGCTGGAGAAAGTGTGAGTCCTCAGCAGATCAAATAAAAAAAAAATAATAAAAATTTAAAAGCGAAATATTAAAGTGGATCTGGCTGAGTGACAAGACCATGTAGCACCGGTGTCTTCGTAATGATAGGCCTGAGATGGACAATCATCAGTGATGGCACTTACATTATTACTGGTCTATTCTCTGTCAAAAGGCTTTGACGTGTCAGTACAGAAACTGCCGGGGTTGAAAGCTGTTATGAAACAGGGATAAATGTATCTCAGTGTGAAAGTCAACCCCTGAATCCAAAGACTCATATATTTATTTTATTTGTATACCATGGGTGGCTGAGACCGAGTCTGTTCCATGTTCTGGATCACCAGGAGGATGTCCCCGAGTGCACACACATGTGATAAGGTATGAGTAATTGGCTTGTGTCTCCCCTCACCTTGAGTTCCTTATCACCAAGTCTGTGTTTAGTGACAATGAAATGCCCGTTGTGTGTTGATAGACAGACTGGTATACTAGTACTCTCTGTCTGATGAATTGGTTGAGTGTTTCCTAACCGTTAACGGAACTGACTTGCTCATCTTTTGAGTTCTTGCCGTAAGTCTTTCTGTGCAGGCCCATTAAAAGCATGTTTTCGGGCCCACGAAGTTATGTGTCGTTTGGAGGGAAACGGTGCTTCTAGGGTATAAGAGTGGGAAAGTGAACAGTTGGATCATTATCTTTCAACCGCTCATTTGCCTAGGGTTTCAATCAGTCACAGTTCCCTAGCAATGAAGTCGTTTCTCTCCGGTCTCTCTCGTTTTGTTGGTGCTCCGGTCAGTACGGCCGTTGATGAAGCACCCCCGGCTCTTGCTGGTGGCTCTGACAACCTCAGATCTTCCGACTGCTTGGCCATCGTGCCGTATGTCCCCAAGATTCCTCCTCCAGCCGACTCGGTGTCTCGTGTCGCTTCGCCTCCTCGCGCGTCTTGACCAACATCGCGACATGCAGAATCCTTTGCGCAGTCTCGGAGTCGTAGCCGATCTCCTTCTCTGGAATTTGTCTCTGCCAAACAACCATCTGTCTCTAGTGCTCGCGCCACCCGTCGAAGCAAGCGTCGCATCAAATCTGAGTCCAAGGCAGATGAATCGTCGCCAGTCGAACCCTTGAAGAAGAAGAACCGATCATCGATGAAAAAGGCTTCCTCCTCGCCCCCTCAGTTCGATGAGTCTCGTTTTTCGACTCAGCAAGCCAGTGATCACTTCGATTTATTTCTCAATCGGAACTTTCTTGCTGAGCGTGAAGTTGATCTGAAATCACTTCCCGCCGGAGTTGAGACCAGCATTCAGGAGGCTGGACTGATTCCGACTGTCTCCGGGATCAATCGCTTTCAACCCACGGTGGTTCACGAGTTTTCGGCACATCTCCCTGATAACAAGATCTCCGATGGTGAAGTTTGGCTGTTCTTGCGCGGTAATGAGTATGTCTTCTCCCCGGTTGTCATCAATCAACTTTTTAGGCTTGAGTTAATGGCCATGGAGAGTGTAAATGTGGGGGAGGAGTTACTTTCTGATGATCAGCTGGCGATGTTTATGAGTGGTGGTAGCGTGAGTGTGTGGGAAAATTTGGCGTTAGGTCATTATCAGTCTGACAAATGGGCTCTCTTCAAGATCAGCTGTCACAACTGGATACCCACGTTCAACACTGGTTTCTCCAACAAGAATCGTGCTCGCTTGGTGCACAAGATTCTCACTAAGGTTCCTTCTAACTTTGGTGAAATGGTGTTTGACCACATCCTCATTCTTGCAAGGCATCCAGGATCTAAGTTTCTTCTGCCGTATCCGAGTTTAATCTACAAGATGATCCAGCGTCAGGGACCCATTCCTATTGATTCTGGTGTTCGGATGGATCTTGTGCTGGCGTTTCGTGCACCTCCTGTGATCAGCGTGAAGAGTGAGGGCAAGCCAGATGGTGTGGAAGTTGCTACGCCCTCCACTGCCTCTCTGGTTGTTACGGCTGCCGATCGTCGTGTGCCGACACAAGCTGTGTCTATCATCAGCAGACTACTTTGGGGAGGTAAGTTTTTCTCTGATCTCTTCTCTGTTGCCTGTTCACCTAATGTTTTTGACTTAATTATGCTCTTAAGCAGGGGGAGATTCAGAGGACAATATGGGGGAGCAGGGTTAATGGGGGAGAAGTGAACTAAATTTAGTTTTCTGTTTTTTCTCTTTTGATTGTTTTTCTTGAGCGCACAGAACTTTAGCTTTTAAAGTCGCTCTTTGATTCTCGGGTCTGTAACTTAAGAACCTTAACGTTACCAGCTTTGTTTAATCGTAGGGAATCCTTTGCTCTCGTGTGTGTGTTCTGTGTTCTACTGTTTGCTTTGTGCTGACTTATCAGGTTACTCTTGAGGAGATGCTTAAGTATCCAACTAAGACAAAAAGGGGGAGATTGAAGATGTGGAATCAGCAAACAACTCAGGCGGGATATCAGGATACAGAAAGGAAGCTTGTAGCTGATGTGGAGCTAATGACGTGGCAATTCAAGGAGGAGCTTGGAGAGCACGCAAGGAGATTCTACATATGGAAACTTACCTTACGAGAGTTTGGTAAAAGGAGTCTAGGTTTAGGCTTTGTAGAGTATATATAGTTTGAAATCGGGCAGAGTATTGGGATACACTTTGCGCCGCAATTAATACAGTTTACCTTGTACCTCAAACAAAGACGAAGTAAGAAGGTTAGTGTCCTCTTCTCTGATACACGTGTTGTGGGATCAAGAGAAGAGTAGGTTTTGTTACTAGGAATCGTTTGGTTGCTTTCTAAGAGTAGAGTTGCATAAATCCAAGCAATTGTAATCAGTTGATTAAATTGTTGATTCGAAATAATAAAACCTATCGTTCGACTTGGCGCTTTCCAAGTCATTGATTGTGTGTGCCTGTTTTCTACACTTACAAATATAAGTACATAGATGTGATTGTTGGAAAATAACGATTAATTCTCGATGTAGATTTTTCGATCGGAGTTCGACATAGTGAGGCAGACAAGTGGCTACAAGGCGCTGCTTCAATCCATACCGTTTATCTTCGCCGGAAAATTCGATCGGCTAAGTCAAATCGTCTCGTTGATCTCCGAGGCGGTGAAACAGAATTTGAAGAAGAAATGAATGCATTTGTCTCTGTGGAGGAAAGTCGAGTACATGTGATCTAAATAGCTCTTCTCCTACATTCGAGCTTCCGTTTTTGCCTTTGATAACGCCGAGGAGCTGCCGCTTATGGCAGCCACGGCAGAGCCGGAGGTGGATTATGCTGCGCTTGAACTAATTTTCGAGGAGAAAATTTTATCTTCAGGAGTGATTAATTCTTCTTCCTTTTTTTTCGTTTGTTATTAGTGACAATGATGACGTGGTAGTCCAAATGATGGAGAGAGAAGTGAAAATCATCACGGGATTAATTACATTCTTCAAGAAAAAATCTTAAAAAAAATTTGAAGTTTTTTTTCTTAATTTTTTTTCTAATTTTGCTTAATTTTGAAGATAAAAAAAATCGAGAAAATATATATTAAAAACTATATAACATTAGCATATATTACTCTTTTTTACCTTTTTTGTAGCTGTATTTTTTAATTTCTTTGTTTTTTTTTTGGCAAAGAGTTACCGTCCACGGGGAAAAAATAATATTTACTATTCCCAAAAATAAATAAAAATGTTATCTCTAGAATTTAGTACTTCCGAAACTCAAAACACCTGAGAAACTGTGCAGTGGTGTGGATAGTATTTTAAATTAATTGAATTTTATTAATCCCTGTGTAATCTTTATTCTTAAGACGAGTACCTGTTTAATATATGTAAGCGCATAAGGGAACAGAAGAGTATTGACACGATCTTTAGTTTTTGTTTTCTCATCTTTTCATAAACCTTACCATTCCATATAAAATAAATGTTACGAAATTAATTGTTTACTTACTAATCTGTTTTAGTTTATTTTTTAATGACGACAACTTTGAGAGAAGCGAGAAGCTCGTGGGCTCTCGATAGCAGTGGAGTGCCAGAGCTGTTCTTGAACAACGTCTCATATTCTCTCTTTTTGCTTTTCATTTTTTAATTTTAAATTTTTTAATTTTATTTTCCATGAGATTGTTTTAATTTAAATGATTTTGCTTCGTTACTTAATCTCATTTGATATCCTTCATAAAAATCCGAAGACGCAAAAAGTAAATCCATTTTCTTTCACATTGGCTCTGCAGTAAAAATTCGTATTGCTTATAGGTGGATCCATAAATCAAAATAGGTAATGAAAAATTGACTCGTTATATGTATATGCATAATGCATATACGAGAGGCATTATATTCATGTTAATTAGATTTTGATATTTTGTTTCTATGGGTACGAATGCGATAGACTTTGGGAGAATGATATTTTTTTTCATGATGCATTTCAAAATTTGAAGGAGAAACAAAAGAAAAAGATTTTCAGTGGCTCGTGCTGGTAACACGTGCTAGATATTTGTACATGCAATAACCATCGGTATTATTTGTTGGATTTCTTAATTCATAGAGAACTCACAATTTTGACTCTTGTTTTCACGATATATAAAAAATAGTTCTATCGCTTTCACCATAAAATAGCATTGCTTAATCGTTGTAAATTTACTTATTTAAAATCAGTATAAGGTGATTTCTTATTACTTGGATTGATAAGAATTGAAAATGAATAATTATTTTAATTGATTGTTGTTTGTGTGGTTAAGGTTAGCGTTGTGAACTTGTGATGCAACAACAGAATGTGGTTAACGTTAACTCAAGGATTGGTTAACCACGCAAGCAACGATCAATCAAATTATGGTTAACTGTATATGTGTAGAATATTTTAAAAATAATCTTTCATGAGTAAGTTGGGAGATGGATTCGATCAGTACTCTCTTAGTTTAAAGAGTAAGAACAGTTCTTTTGAAGATTATGAAAAGCTACATCACAACCTTTAAGAACATAAATAATCGAAAATGAAAATGAACGTAAGGTGAACTATCAAAACAACAAACAAAATGACTTTCTTTCCGAATACCAAAATAGAATTACCACATGAAAATGACACATGTAAAATATTTTTGAATTTTTTTTTTTCACTACTGTTGTAATATTGAATCTTCATACTTTCCCATCAAAAAAGTAACTTAGCTTTAGCCAAAACTCACCATCTCTAAGTACCAAGAGATTTACATGAAGTCATATAACCAATTTAGAAGATCCATATTTCGCTACATGTTTTGTGGAACTAAAATATCAAATGAGTCTAAAACAAACAAACAAAAATCGTTTAGCCGATATTCTACATCATTTTTATAAATTTTGATATCCTATTACATACCTTCATTTTTATTTCTTGGTCAATGGAAATGGAGCCTAAGGCCAAGGAAACTAGGGATATTTTGTCCATCCCTAAAGGAAACATGATCTTAACTAAAATCGTACATATATAGAAAGTTTAGTTTTATTTGTTGAGATTATTAAATCTTCTTTTTTCATTAATTCTATTTAATTACCATTTTCTCTCAGAGCTTTTAAATGGAAAAAAAAATACTTGAAAGTAGTTAAAGCAAAAAAAAAAAAAAAAATTCCTCCATTCTGTCCAAGCTTAAACCAACTATGTACATGGACCTAACTTTGTTCCAAATATAAGTATGTAATTAAATATGTTTTTCTTTTTAAACACATACGTATATGATATATATGTTATGCATCACAATCATTGATGTGGGGGCGCTAGTCAATTCATCCATAACTATAGTATTTATTATTATTGTTAGTATTATTTTAGATGTCATATATCAAAACGTATTGTATAATCGAATTATTTGACAATAGGGTAGGGTCGGTTACAACAATTTCACAAGCTGTGGGGTACGATTCCCTTTTCTTATTACCATCCACTCTTTTTCTGGATTTGACATTATTTGCACGGGTAGAAAATATATATAATTTTATTTTAATTTTCCCTATATTATGTACGATTTATCAATATCATATTTCTTTTGGTTACGTTTCTATTTGTTACCAGTAAAGAAGAGAAAGTAATAAACCATGGGTTAGATTAAAGGTCTATAGAAAACGACTCTCCACCCACTCATTTAAATAGTTTTGGAGATTATCTTTATTTGTTAATTGCTTTTTCAAATGAGTTTTGGTTAATGAGACAATCAAGGTTTCTGCACTAGGAGATATAAACTATATATATTTTAATTTTAAATATTTTTAAAATTATTGCACAACCAACTTGTTCTAGTGTTGCAATTATTATTATTATGATTATTTTTGAAACCCCCACATGAACGTTACAATGATTTGTTTATATATTTTACGGTTATGTATGCCTATGTGTGTGAGAGAGAGAGAAGAAGAAGATAAAGAAGCATCTTTTTATAAGCCAACATTGATCATTACACATTTTTGAAAGTTCTTTTCTGAATGTTGAAATTGAAACTTACTACATACTCTCTCTTGTCCGTTTTTTCGCCCATCTCTCTTTCTTCTTTGAAACATATTTGGACAAGTTATGTTTTCTTGTTAGCAAGCTTATTAGATTGTTTAACATGATACTTGTAGCTATAGATCATTAGGAAGAGAAAATATGTTGTGAGAGAATACTTCAACGCAGAATGTTAAGATCTATCTATATATTCTTAATTTATACTAATTTATAATAGTTTTTCTACTTGAATTATATATATGCATAAGCAAAAGTGAGTATATATTAGTATATTTTTTAAAACGAAGAATGGAAAAGAAAAGAGACACGGAGGAGATGTGAAGAGAGACTTATCCACTTTGACATAAGACTTGGAATATTAGGTGACAACATGTGATTCCTCTCCTCACTCTCTTCCTTTTCTTTTTATTTTGCCTTAAAATTCGATTTTCTTATTTTATTTTTGCCTCAAAATTCAATTTTCTTATTTATTAAGACAAAGTAACTACTCAAGTTCATCAGCAAGAATTGGTCGCACTCGCATTATAATGTTCCTCTGTTCTATTTTCTTTTTCTTCTTTTTTTTTGTTTGTTTATAAACTAATAAAACTTTGAAACTTATATTTTCCGAAAACTCTATTACAAAGCGTTCATTAGAGACTCCATATTGAAACTAATGACTTTATCAGTAAAATAAATATATATCTTGACATTGATAATCCCATCCACAATACACAAGTTCATCATAGATTACTTGAAAAAAAACATATATCTACTAAAATTTGTATGTTTTTTGTAAAGTTTTTGTTCTGGATCTAATATATGTAGAAAACATCATATTTCAGTCAACTACGAAACCAAGAAAGTTTCCATCATTTTAAAGAAGATATCATGAAAAAATGTTTCGCATTAAGACATTTGTGTGCTTTTTACCTTTTAGCCAATGAATAACATAGATTTACTTCTGATATATTTTAATTACTCTATGCACACAGATATTTTCTGGTTTCCTTCTTAGACTGAATTTAAGCTCGAAAATTTTTAATGGAAAAAATACTCATTGAAATTAGAGTTACATAGAGATACAAAAGAAAACAATGTGTATAAAAATGATCATCATTTTGAAAACAATATTAAGTGGGTTGGGTACAATCGAAGTAAAAGAACTTCACCCTCTTGTCGGGTTTAGGGATATCTTATCAATATATTTATCATACCTTCTGAATTATTATCTGTTAAGATCATAAACAATGTAGTTGTTGCTTGAGGAGGCAACATATATTATATTACTAAAATAAACATGAAATCTGAATTCTCAGACTTCTGAATGATTTTCTTATTGTGTAGATCTTTAAACCACACTTTACTATCAGATCCAAAATATCAGACAGCTTGCAACTTGAACAAAATATGTTATTGAAAATGAAACAAAATAAATGAAAAGTAAAATTGAAGGTTGATTCCCAAAGAGAAGCTTCATTAACCTCTCTAATCTATGAAACTGTGTTATCTGTTCTAGAAGCAAAAGCACTGACAGATAGGAAGAGTGATGACACTCTTTAATGGGACTCACAGGTTATTCATTAGAAACCTATTTACAGAAATTTAAATTATCATCATATAATGCTATTTAACACACACATTGATTGTTGAGAAAAATGTAGGATAATAAAGGCTACACAAAAATGAAGTCAGGATTCTCTACTAGGAATCAGAGAGATTTCTTGTAGTTGTAGGTGCACTTTTAATTTCGGTTCGTATTCATTTCTGAAGAAGTTATATAATTAGTTTTTTTTTTTAATTTGCTCACCTATAAATTATTGGTTTGTAAAGTCATTTTCTGGTCACCTGTAAAAATAGTGTTTTGTGTATTTTATATTTATAACTTAAGACAATTATCAGGCCGAGAGACTCAAAGCCCAATTTAAAGCAGTGTAAAGCCCACTAAAAAAATATCTTGCTTGACTCATAGAAATTAAAAAAAATCTTTCCGTTTCGCTAAATTCATGTTTTCT